TTTTCCTGTTTGTCTTGATTTGACTAACAAATTTATATAGGATTTCTAAATGTTTTCACAATCATTTCAAATATTTTAGTCACAAATAATTAAAAAGGGAATTTTTTACTTTGCGTAGATGACAAAATGGATTATTCCGTTAAAACAGGATGTCTGGTCACCCAAATTTCAACTAAGCTCACTTAGCACAATGGCCACCCTAAGTAAATTAATTGCTGTGTTAACTGATTGACCCTTTATCTATGTCTAGTTAATACTGCAGTTTAAAACTGTGTATGAAAAAGTTATGTATTTAACATTAAGAACTTTGATTTGTACACAAGCATTTTATAATAATCTTTACTGTAATGAGCATTTTTAAACTGAGTTTATTGATACTTATCATCTTATAACACATAATATGTGGCACCAGCTTTTGAAAATTATAACCCTCACTATACTTTTATTGAGTTGATTAATAATATGGAGTGTCCCGAAAGTCACATAATTCAAAGCTGAATGTCATATTTATTGCACATATTACATCATAATTACATATTAAGGTGGTAAATAGATAATTTTGCCACTTGTTAAAAGTGCCCCCCTCCCAATTGGGGACATAACTCATCTGTTTTCAACATATGCATAGAAAATCTATAAGTGGCACCTGTGATTAACAGATCAAGAAATAATTGACTTATTTGGTATGGCAACATCTGATGTGCTGTTCTACTGCTCCATATAAGTATTCGAAAATAGTGTTCAACAATAAAAACACACTGCAGTGTTTAAAATGGGGTGATGCTTGTTACACAAATAATTTACCACAGAGCAATGAATATGGAGAAGCCACTGGCTTGTTGGAATGACAATGAATCAGGTGTTGTCACAGGGCATGCCAGATATTTAGCTAAATTTCAGGTTGTGTGACTTCTGGGACCCTCTTTCTAATTTATATGAATCTTGAATTTGTTTTGAGTGTTATGTACAAATGGATTTAAAACAGGATTGCATGACATTAACTAACTCTGTGGAGGAGAGTCCTTTTTGAAAAGCTAAGGGTTGCTTAGTTAACAAAGAAATTTCCTGTGTTATGGAACCTGAAGGTTCATTATCATGTTTGAAAGAGCCTATCTTATACTAGTTATTAAAGTATTACTGGTTCTTACCACCTGATTCAGCTGGGGCCCACATAGCATTCTGTCCAGTGGGTACCAGAGATTCATTTCTCAGGCATAAAATGTCCTGAACGTGAAAATAACCATTTACCTCCATTTAATGCTAAGGTGAGAATGTGTGGAACTTTACCTCTGTTCCCCTTAACATCTGCATTATGTGGTGACTTTACCTTCACATGCACTTGTGTGTCTGTTTCAGCTTAACCTTATATTTATACATGTGTTACATAAGTTTATGTCCCATATGTCTGGTTTGAGATTTATGTTTGTTCTTATAAATTTTTCATTTTTTTGAGGTCTTATCATAGTACTAAGTGGTTGGCTTACACCTCGATAAAAACCTATTCAGGATTTAAGGTTTTAAACTGTATGCTCTTGAATGTGAAGAGGATATGAAAGGCAAGAAGGATTAGCCTCACTTTATGAAATAAATTAAATATATTCATAATATTCTTATTATAAGTAATGCGAATGTAGTCTTTGTGTCAGTTGTCGCAGAAATAAACAATATACTAAGTTATAATTTTATCCGTTGTATATGAATATTATTGGCAAAGGAAATTATGGTTGGCAGGGAGTGACAAATGCATGGAAGACACAAGAAATATATTACAAACACTTTATAGGAAAGCCCTTTTTGAGGAGGGGGGGATGAAGACAATCATAGCCTGACAGATTATTCTTTTTTGACTGAGTCTTTGAGAATAGGTTATAATGAGCAGGTTTAAACCATACTCCGGATAGCAGTTATTGAAAACTGAGAATATTTTATTCCGACTGTATTACTATTTGGTAAATAAAATCATGGTACTAAAATTAACATTCCAGGAGTGGAATTTCCCATTTCTTTGCTTATGTTATTACAAAGTAAAGGTGGTATGAAACTCGTGCTACAGCATTACATTTCCTAAGTGCATAGAAATATTTTTTTTTGCTTTACCTGTTGACAGAGGTGTTTTAATTTCTGTTTCAGTGCGTACATTCAGAGTCCCTACATGGACAGGCGAATTCTTCAATTAAAGAATAGTTAAAAGTGGTGAAGTAATTCTGCAAATGTGAATATAAAATAAAACTAACTCCTGCTATGTGGTGAGTTAACTAAAGAAACAGACTGTAATGAATATGTTATTAATTTTAATTAAAGCCACTAGTGAAGCAACAGCTGTGCTTGACTACTGCTTCTTACTGCCGTATGCATAATATAATGGTACCAACTGCTTCAGAAAAAACAATGTGACTGATATATGCAAAATAGCTAGCTGCACCTGATTCATGACCTCACTAGGTCTTCCTTATTATTCAGTTCTCAATAGTTTTGTAAATAATACAGTGAAATAAAAGAGCTCTCAAGAGGAGAAAGGGTCCTCCAACTTAAGTAATGTACTTATATTGCTGATACTGGATTTGTTTCTGTTTTCCATGTGAACTGTGAAGCCATGCACTATTCCAGTTATTCCCAATTGTTTCACAACCAAAAAGTATTCTATACTTTATATCCCGTAACTGTGGATTGATACTGAGAATATTTTTACTATTGTATGTATTGTGGTTGTATTAGCACCAAAAATAGAAAACATCATCTTTGAATCAGTTTTTAAATATGAACAGTTACTTGTTCTCCATACCAGTTTTATATGAGTATAATTTTTAGTCAAATGTTTAACTTCGATTAATTACATTTTAAAATGTCTGCTGCATACAATCTGAAATTTTATATGTTAACATAATATTGGAAGTTATGAACCTCTAACACAATTACGACAATTTTTGTAGGGTTGCTTGCCTTAATATACAAAATCTTAATTACTTATGGATCATTGAATTACTTATAACTATATTAGAAGTTAGGTAATCTATCTCTGAAGCTTCTTTCGTACATATATGGCATCCTTGTATTAATAAAAGACATGTTATATTTTCGGTATTATTACTGCTTATGGAACAAATACAAATTATGTATAGTACGATTACATTACTAATTAGGATATAATCTTCCTCGCAACCCTGCAAATTCCTTCCATTTCATTTTTCTGACAGCTGAAAGTTTTATTCAGATTCATAACACACTTTATATTAGTGACAATAAGGTCACGATGTGTTGATGATGACATGATGTGTTTTGTTTACAAATGGGACCATGGTATTTTAGGGGAAGATAAAGGGGAACTTATTTTATTAAAGCCATGGTTACTACATGAGCAAGTGGTCAGTTTGTCAATATTATAACACATATTGTGTTATTTTTACAAGACAGGTTTTATTTTGCAGATAATTTGTGGAAACTAATGATTCTACATTTCTGATACATAACATTGATTTTCTTAATATAACATGTTCTAAGGGTATCTATGAGGAGGGTGGTTGAAGGCTATTTAAATAAGTAGACCTTTCTTCGCCACTGACTGAAGCAGTAGGAGTAGCAACTTTTGGCTGTGTAAGATAAATACTTATTTCTGAGACAAGAAAAGCATTAAGCTGTACACAAACATGGAAGTTCCAATGTCTCTTGGTTTTATATCATTACCATTATTTTATTATACATATTTTTGGCTTCCATTGTACTCTTTAATTCCTCAACAAAACTAAATAAAATCATGACTCTAGCTGCCTATTTCAGTTTCATGTTTGCACGAAGAATGTGATGTGGATGAATACAAGTTTTGATTCTAAGAATGACCCTTCATTTTCTGCACAAAGGAACTATAATTATCATTATGGGATAATGACTGAAGTCGGCCATTATTATTTCCATGAAGATTTGTGCCTAAAGGTTACATACATATAGGTAACCTGTTGTATATACTATATTTATTAAAGATTTGTTTCTGTTATGATATTGTGGAATGAAGATGAAACTTCACAAGCTTTGAAGTATGGTTCAGTAAGGTAACTGTTGTAATCCAATGCCTGTTAGTATGAAAAGACATGTGATAGTATATAAGAAACATGTATTCACTGTATTTACATCAGTGCTCAAAGTTAACATAATTCAGTATCTTGAATGAGGCAGCAATATTTCAGAAATGTATTTGATAATTATGTTTTGAATAACACAGAAGTTTTTTGCAATTCTGTTTATTTGTTATAAATTTTAAAACAAAATTAATGGAAGACATTAGCTGTTGTGCTTAGATTTGTTACATCGTTTTCTAACAGAAAATTGTAGTTGTACAACAAATACATTCTTCTGTAATTTTTTGAAAGATAGATGAATTATCCACAGATATTATTGGAAATATATGTTTTTTAAAGACAAAATTGGTTTCAAAGGAAAGAGCAATTTTGAGGAATTTTATGAACAGAAATTTGGATGTTTAATAAATATCAAGAGAATAATGCTATTTTGGAAATGAGGCAACAGTCAGAAGAATGTCAATTTTCCATTTTGAGCACTGTAATTAGAACAGAAAATGTGCATGAAAGAACTTTGGTACAAGTTGATGAATGACAGATTCAACTTAAAACCCTCTATCACCTTGTTTTCTGAATATGTATGTAATCCTGCACAAATATACTAATGCAAAGAATGAAAAGGATATGCAAGCAGTGATATTAATGAGCACAACAGTAGACCCAACTGTGAGAAAAGAAGTTTTGTACATTTTGAAATAGTTTCCTAAAATTATTATTGTATTATAATTAATGTAATTGGTGCTTTTGGTATTATAATAGTAAATATGAATTGTTAATATAATTAAAATATGTATTAACATACTTCATTAGATTCACTGAAATTTTTATTTATGTGCCTATTGTAATTAAAGAACTACGAGACAATGGGATTGTTCAAAATGTTTTTCCTGCCACAAACTGATATGTTGAATTTCACATCTGCTATTTTGACATTTAAGAAAAGCTGAATGTTTGTTTTTATTACAAATGTTATGTTAATTTCTTTCTAATTTGTATTTTTAGAGATGTAACACATGTGATCATTTCTGGTATAATATGATAATCATGAAAATTATTTCCACATTAGAAAGTAACGAAACCTGTTGAAAGGATTCCCAGCTGAAAATGTTATGCTGAAATGTACTTAGGTTTTGTCATCAATAAATGCTTTTATTTATGTTACGTAGGCTTTTAAATGTCAGTCTGTAGAACTAGCTGAATACATTGAAGACAGGTCAGTCCCTTGAGTGAAAATGTTTAGCTTCGTAGACTTCTGTTCGCAGAACTTGGTTATTTATACCAGGTCATGAATTATTTTCTTCTTGCAGTAACAAGACTGAAATGCTGTGAGTCTTAAGAATTGTCATTCTACAAAACTTGTATAAGTCCGATTCTATATAGAAAGACCTGTTAAAACCATTACTTTTATACACTAGTGTTTATTGCCAGTCACATGGTTCAACTACGTAAAATTTTTGTATGTATTATATTCATTGATTTCTTTGTATACAGACATAATCTGACAATACCCCAAGATTTGTTCTTGATGGGTTTTTTTTTTTTTTTGGGGGGGGGGGGGAGTGAATGGTTCTAATACAAATGCTCGTATGCTGAATTATGGTATCATGATTGTAAAGCATGTTACAATTCGGAATAAGTCTTTCAAATACTTAATCTTTTTAGGTGCATTTGCAGCTAGAAGTGTTTCTATTTTTCCATGTTTGCCTGCCTGTCTCTGTGTTACAACTTGATAACCACTGAAGTGATGTCCATGAAATTTGATGCTGGGGAGTTTTACTAAAATATGCTAACGCATTCCAGTTTTGATTGAAATTTAAAAACAGCAAGAGACAGGATGACCTAAATGGTTTTTAGCATTTGTAAGTCATTTGGTGGGGAAACCTCAGCAAGACATGCATCCACACAACCACATATGAAGTTCTGACTGCGATATTACTGATGTAATTTACAAAGGTCAAATCCTGACAAGAAATGTTATGCTTTGTGTGCATTTCCTAGATTGTTTCTTTTCAGTGTAACTGTATGAGCTATTCTTTAGCCATATATCAATTTTTCCGAACTGGTGCCAAAAAGTTTTGAAGTATATAATTACAAAGTTGCCTGCGTCTTCATACCACATCATAAAGGTTTAAGGTAAAGTTACAACAATTTTGGACCAGAGCCATTCTGGATGTGGTGATGAAGAGAAGTAACTTTGCCCTTAACATAAATTTTACCCCATTGAGCAATCATCTTCTTAAAGAGCTTATTTTAAACTAGAAGCCACGTTAAATTATTAGAGTCCTGATAAACCTGGCACTGGTGGTAACTCGCTATGGGCTTAACGACCACGATTCGATTCCAGACAGCAGTAGATCTACTGATTTTACTCATCATCACGCCCACATTTGCTCCATGCCACACACACCTTCTTATCTAAGTGCTGTTGATGCACTTTCATTGGCGATAAAACCACCTGAATGTGAAAATAATGACACATCTTTGTAGAGTATCGAAGTGGAAATTTGCTATCATACGAGGTGCGATCGGAAGGTTTCCAGACTGCGCGTATAAAAACCCGTGCACTTATCTCAGGTATTAAATTCATCCATCATCCTCGAAGTAGTTCCCCTGGGAGTGAACACAACGATCCCAGCGCCGCTGCCAAGCCTGGAAGCATCCCTGGAAATCTTTCTTTGTCAGCCTGTCAAGCACCATCTGCGATTCTGTCTGAATCTCTTCTATCGTCTCAAATCTCCTTCCCTTTAGCTGAATTTTCATCTTTGGGAAGAGGAAGAAGTCACACGGAGCTTAGGAAGGAAGTTGGGGTCGGTTCTTGCAAGATCTTTTAGCTCCTGACAAACGAGAAGTCGATTCTGCTTCTGGTCCTCAGACAGGAGCCTTGGTTTCGCATGTGGAGTTCTTCCTTTAGAATCAGCTGACAGGTCCCAACAATGTCGCACAAGTCGTTATGGTACGACGTCGATCTTCGTGAATGGCCTGCCGAATCTTCGTACCATTTTCGGGCGTTGTGCTCGAAGATGGTCGTCCAGAACGCTCGTCATCATCGACAGAAGTTCGGCCGTTTTTAAAACGTGAATGCCACACAAAAGTTTGTGCACGACCCATTGCGGACTCCCCAAATGCTTGCTTTAGCATTTCATAGGTTTCCGTAGCCGTTTTGGCGAGTCTTTGGCAAAATTTGATGCACACTCTTTGTTCATGAAAATCCGCCATTCCGAAATCGCAGGAGGGTCGGTGTAATGCACTAACAAAACGCCCGTAACTAAGAAACAAATGCTAATTCGATGATGCTGGCTGGCACACTGATTCACTATGAATATAGGCCGAACCCCCTAGCGGCAGAAGCTCGTACTACATCCGGTTCGCCCTCTATTGACACAGTCTTGAAACTTTCCGATCGCACCTTGTATAGCTAGTTTCTATAATGACTGAACTTGGTTATATTTATAAGTTTTTATTTTATGTTTTACCTGTAATGCTGTGGATGAAGTCTTCCTTCTAATGGAAAAAAAACAAGGTTTATCATTGCTCAGACAAGCAAGATATTTCAAGGCTAGAATAGATTTGTTTTCTTTACTTATAAGTGGGAAGGGGTTTATGATAATAGCTGCCATGTAGTCTGGTAAACTTCTAAAAGACTTTGTGGTGCAACAACTCAGAAGACAGCCACCTTCAAACTGACCACAGTGAAAACCTCAAATCCTACAGAATTTGATAGTTTTAGAATATTAGTTTGGTCGAAACCTTTAAGGATTTCTTCCATGAATGAAGACAGTCATTCTCATGTTTGTAAAAGTTAACAGCCCTATGGGGTGTGTTTGGTAAAGTGGATGGTAATTAGCGTCATTACTGACTGAGTTCTTGACAGTCGCTACTGCTATGGATTAATACGAAGTACTAATGCCAGATCGTGTAGTTCGATACATTAAAGTATTATGTTCGTGACGTCATATGACACGTTGCCAACTTGTATTGAGTTACCAATCGTTATGTTGGTATTACTGTTTGATCCAGTTCCACAGAAATAAATTATGTGGCGCTACCTGTAGGCTAAAGTGTGCTGCCGTAGTTGGGAGCGTGGAGGAAAGTGGAACTATGTAATATTTTTCTGTAGGAAATGTACAGAACACGAATTTATTATACCCACGGGAAAATGCATGTTGTCATATAAAGCAGATGAACGAATGTGGTCATCACTTGCGAATCGAAATTAAAAATTAATGGATATTTTATACTTTTGGCACCATTGTTCACTTTCATTGTGTTTATGAGCCCACGAGACTAGAATGCTGGTTTATGGGAAGGCGACACTTAAGAATACTCGTAAGATCTGTGATTCGGACGGATCATTTGCACTCCAATAGTGACAAAGGTATAGTCAAGATGGCGTCAAGGAAATAATTGTTTTTGGGGAATTTCGTTCCACAGAAAACAACTTCTACCTTCTGCAGAATGGGCTTGGCCAATCATAAACTGTAGTGGTGAGTGATTGCGTCACGTGTACAATCAGTCGGTGATGTCGTGACATAGATTACATCAAAATTGGACGTGAGCAAGTATAGCGTTTTTCCAGCATAGTTAAAGAGAATGAACAGAGGATTCGTAAGGCCCTAATATTGTTTAGGCAAGTTCAAAACTGTATTAATAATGAAAACTCACATATTTCAAGTCGTAGAAGTTCTAATAAGTGTAATCGTTAATTTTTGCCCATATATATTTTAGACGTGAAGTGTACGGTGTGTTTTCACACATCCTAATTAAATATAAATGCTACGTTATTTGCAGGTTTATGGTATGGTGTTTAAGTAGTTATGCCTGTGAATTCATAATTGGGTTGCTGGTCACTGAACTGTGTAATTGGGAGGGGGTAGGTAATCCCTCCCAATGCATGATGGTGTGGAAGGTTGATTGTTTACTTTAGTTCAATTTTGTTTTAATTTCATTTTAATGAAAGCTTGGGATTGGATAGCTGTTTCATCTCAATTTAGATTCAGATGTGCCAAAAAATAAGTCATAATATGCTAATTTTGTTCATACATTATTATTATATTTATAAAAGTGTTTTGTACTAGCATTATAATTTGTTTGAATATTAGAGTGACCACTGTTAAGATATAAGTAATATATTGAAAAATGTAGTTTCAGTGTGGCACAGGTCTTTATTGATTCTGAAATACAAGGTGTATGTGAAAGGTATATACTGAACTGCTGCTAGTTTCTAGATTGGATTATACTATGAGGATGTTCCTGTGCCCACAGGTGTTCTTTTTGTGAAAATTGATGATGCTTCTCTATTTAAACCAGCCTTTTCTGTAAAGGGCACTGACAAAATGGAGGAAGGGTTGACACGTTATTGGACAGGCAGGGGAATTTCTTGCCTAGCTGAGTAACTGCTGGCTTCTCACTTAAATTTACAAATTCTCTAGCACAAGGATGGGCAAACTGGATTCAGTCTAATCTTTGGTTTAATGAAGATTAGGTGTGGATAGCAGTATTTGAATTAACAAGAATTCTGTGAATTTATTTGGTTTTTTACATCATCGACCTAGTTCACACGTCATTGTAACTTTTGAGTAGTTGTGGTTTATCTTTGCATAATACATGTTCTAAATTTTTGCATGGGCCTTGGGCATATTTCAGTCAGTAACAGTTCTTTCTCAGTTTCTTCCGTATGCTATGAACTTTTTTTGCCATATGAATTTTATTCTGATTACAGATGTTGCAGTTTGTAAGGACATTGAGTTATGTTTTCTTCTGATGTGAAGCCAAGGTTTTTGAAACCAGGTAAGTGTTATGTTATACAATTGCTCCATATTTTTGTATGTGGGCAAGAAACTGCCTGTCATCCTCTCTCTTCCATGTGTTTGAGAACAAGGCATTGGACATTGCATTTTACCTTCAAGATAGGAAGCAATGGATAATGAAGAAAGTTACATAATGAGGCTCTTTATCTGATACTTCGCCAAATATTTGAGGTATGAGCACATTAAGGAAGATGATACCTGTGGGACATAATAGTAGTCGTGTGGGAAATGAGGAATGCGAGGTCTCAAAACATCTTCCTTTTTACGGTGCAAGGTTGTTAGCCTTGCGACCAACCCCCAACCTGGAGGACCAGGGTACCTGTCTTAGTCTGACCTCTCCCCCGAGGGAGGCCCTACCAGTAGCTCTTTGGGTCACTGAGGGACTCAAGCCCCACCACCACGACAAGGTGCAGGTACCATTAAGTGGGGAATCAGGAATGCATACAGAATTTTAGTCAGAAAATGCATAATGTAAGGGCAGACTTTGGTGGGGCTTTAATATAGAAAACTTATATTAAATTTTTATGAAGTGAAGTCTGGCATGACCTACAAAATTACTTGAAAACTGAGACAATGCCTTAGTTGATTCCTTTTGACTTCCACCAAATTGCTGGCAGAAAAACAGCCATAACAGGTCACGTATTCCAGTTGGTTCAAGTTCCGAGCCCCGGTATATATAGATGAAGTTTATTGTATATTTTCAGTGTTGGCAAATTTTATCTGTTTGTTAATAGGTGAGTGGGAAGAGGATAAATCAGACATTGATCCCAGTTTTTCCACGGCTTTTATTTACAATCCCCATGTATCACTGTCTTTGGAGCAACAGCGTGAAAGACTTCCTGTGTTCAGGAATAGAAATCATATCCTGTACCTGCTGGAGAAGTTCCAGACACTAGTTCTTGTAGGAGAAACTGGGTGCGGCAAGAGCACGCAGGTGCCTCAGGTGAGAATATTCTAACCTAAATAGTAACATTTTGTTTTGCTAGAATATTTTCAAAGCACTTTTTATAAACTCATAGGTAAAATTTGGAGTTAAGGAGTAGAACATTACTCTCATAGTATGTCATTTTACTGCTTTAGCAAACATACTTTTATTATTTGTATTGTGTGAGCAAGAGAATGCTTGTGGTTGTGCCCCCCCCCCCACACACACACACAGTCTCTACCCCATCCCCTGTTTCATGACTGGAGTAGTTGTTAGTCCGGTATCAAAACAAAGTAAATTTTGTACAGTGAACATTATGGTGAAAAGTGAAAATGTAGAAACAGCACTATCAGAAAGGTTTAAAAATATTACAAATTAAAATATTGTTGTTAATAATAATTATGAATCTTACTCTGGAGTTCTTTTATGAATTGGGAACTGCTCACTTCATCATACTTAGGGAGTCACATACTTCTAGGAAGAACTGTTGTAGCTCAACCAAATATCAAGTATTGGCTGGAAGCTTTTGCACGTTTGAATCTTAGTGTAGGTCCAGCGTTAGGGTACGCATTTTTGTGCACATTTCACAAAGTTACGCTGAAATTAAAATTAATTTTTTATTAGTAATCTGTCCTATATTCATTGTGAAACTTTATGTTTTAATGTAGGTACCCTTGTGCATGTGCTTGTGTTCATGTCATTCATATTTTATTAATGTGCGTTAAGATGTATCACTAGGTTGGTGATAAAAATTATCTCTGTGTAATGGACCCAACTGAGTAGGCAACTTCTCACCTTTTCACCTGAGGACAGAAATAGATTCAGTTCCTGAAATGAGATGTTCCGTTCAAAGTAATAAAATGACAAATTCCATTATTATTAAATTTTAATGTACCCTTGTTAGAACCTTTAGAATTGGTCAGTGAGAAGTTAAATCAAATGTGGTTAGAAATTTTGGTACTTGTGGGTTATCAGGACACATCGCTTTAAAAATAGGTTAGGTTAGGTTATTGTGTGTGGATAAATGACATATACTTGAAAGTTATTATATTTTATTTCAATAAATGACAAATTATTATATTTTATTTGCATGTACACGTGATATTAGTTGTTATTACGACCTGTCTCCGGAGGCCAAAATTCGCTTATAGATTTTAGAATTGTTTTAAAAATATCGCCGTTATCACTTGTATGCCGCCACATGAACTCAGCTAAATATGAATCCAGATGATGTCGGGCCGTGCCTCTCTGTTTCTTATTCCGCCATTTTGACCCTCCCGTTATGTGTCCCGATAACCAACAAGTACCAAAATTTTAAAATATATTTTAGTATATTCAATGCTATTTCTGATAGCTGTGGCAGAATTTTCATATGGTCTTGGATCTTTGAAATGCAGGGATTACAGGTTCAGATTTACTCAGGGCATGGTTGTTTGTACAGGATTTTAGAGAAGCCAAGTGCTTGAAATTACAAAAAATAATTACATTTAGTAATTTATTTTAAGTGTGATGTGAATTTAGACCTTTGTGTTGTGTATTTTAAACAATGAATTACATTGTTAATATAATGTAGCTTTTAGTGAATCACATTACATAACCTTTGCCTCAGGCTAGCTTTCTTACGTATATGCAGTGTTATCTTATCCTATATGACTAATTTTGTTCCTGTTACTGTTTAACATTTCTGTAGAATTCTGAATTGCAAATGAAACTGCTGCATATCCACTTTGACTTAAAACAGGACACTTGTACATATTTAAATCAGCTGCTGTGAATATATTGACAACTTTATGCATATTCTGAACTGCTGACAGCATCATTACAGAAATAAGTAAATAAATAAATACAGTGTACATTATTTTAACCCTCTTGTTACAACATGTGATTGTAGACAAACAAATATCCATGCATTACCATGTACTGTTAAATTTGATTTATTCCACGTTGAAGAATAGTCTTCTCCATTTAGTGTGACGTTTGTTTTTGCTTCCTGAGCTGTAAAAACATTTACTTGTTGATCTGCTTAGTGTTTTCAATCTTGTTTGAAAGATCTGAAGTTGTATGTAAATGCCACATGGTTGCTATGATCTTACAAGTTATTTGTGATGCTGTTTCTCAGTTGTAAGCAATTAAAAGAGTGTGAAATAGCTTTGTAAATATAATGTAGAGCAGTGGTCCCCAACCTTTTTGTGCCTACGGGCACATTTGAGAGTTTATGAGATCGTGGCGGGCACCAACCAATTAACAAAGCCAAATTTTCTTTTCTCTGGACAAATAAGATATGGACACCAAATAATACGCAAAACAACACGACGTTTAATGATACAAGAAACCATGCAATCAAAAATACGTACTTTTATAAGTACAATTATTATTACTCAAGTGGGAAGTTAGCGTGATGTTTGGCACTGCATTTCATCGGCCAGTTTTTCAAATTTGGGAGTGTAGGATGATATTGCTGCTTGCAAACAATCGTCAAGATGGGCATCAGTAAGTCGAGATCTGTGATTTGATGTTATAATGTTCGTGGTTGAACGGCCTTCATTATTCAGTATAACCTCTTTCCGTATCAACGCGGGCACCCTAAAAAAGTCTTGGCTTGCGCCGCGTTGGGAACCACTGATGTAGAGTATGTGTTTAGTGTGTTGACAGTTTTCCTTTCGTATGTACATATTAATCTAACTCTTATAATGAGTTCAGACTTTTTCCTTAAAATTACATTATATTAGGAAAACAGTGAAAAAATAATGTGCAGTGAAGGGTTAAGCTGAAAGAAAAGTAGAAGGGGGATAGTGTTATGGTTAACAATGACCCTAATAATGGAGACAGAGCCAGTCACCAAAACGTTGGTGTTGTGCTTAACACTGATGCTGCCGATTGCCAGAGGAGAGTTTATGCTATATTACTTGGTTACCTCATGTTTCTTCAGTTTTTGATCCACAAGTTGTGGGATTTGAACCATTGCATAACTGATGTATCATTTTGGCATTGTGTTCCATCATAATAAGTCAGGAAATTACGAATACACTGAACACTTTAAGTAGTAGGTGTAAATTGCCTGTATTGAAGGATGATATGCCATTATGACGATGATTGGGAAGTCTCTGTTGGAGTGATGCTTTTGGTGTGAATAGCTGAAGCCAGTTGACTGTTTGAGTATTGTTTATACTATTACATTTAATCTTAATGTAATCTGTTTAATATCTTTGTGCTATTCTGTAACTAGCCAAACTCATATTTTTTCGTCATATTTGTTTCTGCTAGGTGCCCAGGTTATAATTTTTTGACGTAAATACGTCTATACGGAAGGGTCATTCGGCAAAACAGCATTAGGAAAATGTGTAAGATCCATACCAACAATGTGTAAATATGGACCGACAATGGTCAGCTTTTATATGAACTCCTGCATGCATAACAATGCTTTGCTCCTTTACCTAAGAAACTAATTGTTATGTCATATGTTTATTCTGCATTGTTGTGGTTCATTACTGCCAACAACAATCCGCATTCATTATTGTGGAAAGAGCTGAGCTGTGAATCGCTTATAGAAGAAGTGTGTCATAGAGTAGATGATAATGTGCTGTTAAAAACGTTTTAGAATATCACAATTACCTATCTTATATAAGAATTATTAAGAAATCTGTGATACTGCCCTCCAGTAACCTACATGTAAAATGATCAGTAAATAAAGACCTTTAAGAATCTGTAATGTATTTTGTTGTAATTATAATTGTTTATACATTTATTGTAATTTTAATAAACCAATGTGACAATTTTCAATGCATCTGGCGGCGTTAAGCGCCCGCCTCTCGAAAACCGTAAGAGATGGATCTGGACATATTGCGTACGAAATACGTATTACCTCTTGAGCTTTCCATATCTGTTTTCAGATTTTACATATCACAACTGGTTTAGGTTCTAAAAACATTTATTCATACAAATAAAGGCGCATCACACTACTGCTGCATTTGTGTGTTCTGTCATACTATGTAGAGATAACAAGATGGATGTCATTGAAGCTAAAAGAGTCTGATAATGATAATTGAAATACAAAGATGTATTTACGTCAGATTCTCCGGAACTGTGGTTTCACTGTCAATTTTTTGTTGTTGATTTTCTCTTCATTAGTTCTTAATTTAATGCCATTCATAGATGAGTTCATACTTCATTGTAATTGTCTATGATCTGAAAATTGTTCATGCTCTGCATTTTTCTTTGGGTTCTGTGTGTCAGTCTGTTCCATCAAGCATAAAAAAGTATTGACTTCTGTTTAACTGTTTAATACTATTTAGAATATTGTTGTTCAACATACCTAAAGCTTTGATTTCATTGAATTGAAGTAAAGTTTTTACCAATTGAAATTGTTAAATTTACAGTATTTGAAATTTGAATTTCATAATTTTGAATTTAATTTCCATACATATATGTAGATAGCTGTATAGAATATGAAAAATAAGGTTTTATATTTGAAAATTTTATTCATTTCATATTTGTGTTATTGGCATTTTATTGTATTTTCCATCTAGTATAGATAAGAGAAGGCCTGGTTGCACCTGCTCATTCTGAAGGAATGTATAATTTATACATTTTCATAGATTTTAAATATTTCCTTCATTCCATTAAATTCTATGATGTAATCACTGTTTTTTAGCTAAAAGTGAAAAAGAAAATGCCTGTTAGCTTCATCATGTATACCCATCTTTCTCTCTGTCTGTCCACATGATTTACCTCATGAATGGCTGAACAAATTTTCATGAACATTTATATTAGGAAGTTTTAATACAATTTGTGAGCATATTCCAATTTTGGTTAAAGTTGGACACCTTGGTTACCACGATTAGCTGGGAAATTCCTAGCCACCCAGATAACTCTGATGTCACTATACGTACATTTCTCAAATTGCGACTGATCTTTGCCTCTCATGAATTCAATATTCTTTCGTAATGAAAGTGGTGATTGAATTTCTGGGGTCGTATCTTGTTTCATAGACGACTGTTTTGATGGAAGTTTGTTGTTTT